ATACTTAAATAATTTAGTGAAAAGAGAATGAGAAAATATATTTTCGACAATTATCTCATGTTTATGTGTAGATAAATTTGTCCAAAAAAACATGAAACTTAAGATTATTCAATGAAATATTAATTTGTTCTATGGCATTTACATACTTGTTTTCTTTATAAAGATTACTTGTATGAAAACTAATCAGCTACTTCCGCTCGTATTCTTAAAAGTCGACGACCAGTGTATCGTTTATATTTCAACATATTAACTAAATTAATTATGAATAAATAAGAACAGAGAACGGTGTTACTAAACATATTATTGTATGTCAAAAAAACTTTTCTAAAATAAAAATTCATGAATTTATTCTCTATTTTGTTTAACCCTTTCTTGTCTTTCATTAAATTTGACAGTTTCAAAAGATGATTCGTTCAAAAACAGCAATCTTATGGCTCCGAATATACACTGGAAAGGTTTAAACTAAATCCACCCAGCATATGTATAAGGTGTGAATGTAGATTTCTCTTTTCAATCCATGTCATCTACACCCACACCTTTCCAGTAATTAACTGAATATTGATTGATTTTTGGTTTTCGAAGATTCTTTATGCTTTTATATATAGCTTCACGTAAAATGATTATTCAGCAACAAATATACATATATACTATCACAACAATGTACATCTTATTTACTTTATAATGGAAAAAATCTTAAGTGCATAAATTTTCTGATAAGAACCTGGATATGATGCTGATTTTAAATTTTTAAAGCGAGTTGTTTAATTTGCATCATCTTCCAACCAATCGCGATCATTTGACTCATCAACATCAAGTGTTTCTGAGTGATTGGAACTATCTATTTGCAATAAGTATCTGATGAGTTGTGATGGTAGTTCTTTGTTAAAAAAATTATTTTTTAATCAAGCCAATACTTATTCCTACAATAAATATTATTTCCTGTGCTGCTTGATATGCTTGAAGGATAATTTAACAGAAGCGTAGCTACTAAAACTTATATCTTTATCACTAATCTTCGCATCTGTTTGAGAAAAAAATCGTTTTATTGTATGATAGATAGAGAAAGTTATTTTGTTTTCATTGTCGTGATAATCGATCGAAATCAAGCTTCTTAAAAATCATGAATGCACTCGAACCGTCTGTACTAGCCGAATTACCAGTTTGGTTGCATAGTATAGATGGCGTCAATAAATTATTCATTAGTCAAACGATAAAACCAATAGGAGTAATTGTAGAGTCATCTAGCAAAACATCCTGTAACCTTTAAAAATCGTCTTTTTTTTAAGGATCAGATGATGTTTTCAAGGCTGACAAAATCTAATTAAGAGAAAAAATAATCAAAAATTGATACAAAAAGAATAATACGCCTTAATCGACGTTTTTCAAAATAGTCGCCATCAATGATCAGTTTTGTCAAAAAAAACAATATGGTTTGTTATGTCGATTTATTTTTGTGTTGTAAGAACGTTAAGTTTATTTATACGACTCAGAAACTACTTCGTTTGGAAATTTAAAAGTCTGGAATATAATCTTAATAATGCTCACCTATTTCTAAATATATATTCAGAAGAGTGCAACGAAAATAAGTGAGCAGTTTCTGCCGAAGATTGTGGAAGGATTTTTTTGTACAATCTATAAATATAAATAAACTAAATAGTGAGTATCTAATTCTATAGATGTTAATGCATTGGAAGTGATGACATAATCTTGTTCGTTTTGTGTTCGATTCTTCTTTTTAGCTAATAGTCTACGAGATGGTATTGTGATATTCAACCATAGTCTCCATAATACGACGTAACATAAAATATACGATCACCCAGCGACATGGAGCATTCTCTGAACAAAAATATTAATGAATTTAAAATAAACAAATAATTATACGTCACTTCATATTTACCATAAAACAATAAAAATTTAAAAACTGTATCATCGGAAATTTTTTGGCATGAGGAAAAATTTTGTTTGTGTTTAACATTGAAATCAGATTTAAACAAAATATGACCAGTTGTATCGCTTTTTTTAAAATAAAATCATGTTGATGTTTCACTAATGCTTCATATGAACCCACTTTCAATTTAGCAGTATCAGATAATAATCGATTTCATATTTTTTGTACAAAGATGTATACTATCTTGAATGAATATAAAAAGCTGAGTTGGATTGAAAAGAAGCCAGGACCAACTTGAAGGAAGTTCAGCTGTAAAAGCTAACCTATCATTAAAAATATCTGAAGTTTCAATTTCAACTAAAAGATTAACAGCTAGACGCATTGAGCATAGAAACTCGCGGTCTTTTTTCTTTTGAATATCCAAAAACGCGAACGCCTCTGGAATGAAATTCTTTATATATCATTAGCCATTTTTTTAATATATCAATAGTTGTTATTTTGTAATTTGTACCGTAACCAGACAAAACGGTTGGTAATGGTACTAAAGTAAACCGCGATCACGAATAGACTTGATTGTATGAATGTTAATAAAGTAAATATGTGGAATAGTTTCCAGTAAGAGTTTTGGTTGTTGAAAGAGTGTACATTGGAAAAGTATTTTTTGGTAGTACGCCATCGACAATAGTGTAACGAAATATTTTATTTGAGTATTGAGTCGTAGAGAAAATAATGAATTGAAATATAACGTTACGGATTCACCGATGTTTATTTGAATAAAAGTATGAACACACAATGAAGAATACAACGATATAAACGTAATAAATACGATATTGAAACGTGCACAATAATAAAAGTATTTGGACTATAATATTTCCACTGT